TGTGTTTGTGTGTGTGTGTATGTGATTCACATTTACTCCTCTTTTCCTCTTCCCTTCCACCCCTGCAACATTTTCTTTATTTTTTTTTTAACATTTTATTAGGGGCTCATACAACTGTTATCCCAATCCATACACACATCAATTGTGTAAAGCGCATTTGTACATCGTTTCTCAAAACATTTTCTCTCCATTTAAACCCCCGACATTAGGTCCTCATTTTTCCCCTCCCTCCCCGCTCCTCCCTCCCGCATGAGCCCTTGATAATTTATAATTGGGTATTTTTCTGCAACATTTTCTTTCTCTGATTTCCCCCCCAACAGTTTTGTTGCCCTATCATTCACATATCACAACCCTCAATCGTTCAGTCACATCAAGAAGAGTTGGACACTCATCACCACAATCCGTTTGAGAACATTGATTTAGAACACACCCATTGTTAGGAGCTCCCCATTTCTCCCCAGCCTCCCCTGCCCTCCCTCTAAGGAGCCAGGGAGGAGCCAGTTACTGTCCCGATGGATTTACCTATGCTAGAAGATATCTTTTTTCTAACATGAAAGTCCTCGCTGCTTCTCTGTTGCGTTTAGGGGGACATTGTGCCTTCATACACCTTGGAGATTTGGCCCCTGCCTTTGTGCCCACTTGGTCTCCTCTGCCTTTGGTTGCCCCCTCCTCCACTTACTTTGAAAAGCCCATTCTGTTTGAGCCCTTGAGCAGGGCTTTGACTGACGGACGCTATTCTGTCATCCTCTATGACCCCCAAACCAGCCCACACCCTGTTGCTATCAAATGCACGGTAACACTTGGGGCGCCAGTGTGTGTGTCAGAGTGTTCTACGGGACTCCACTGGGTTTTCTGTGGCTGTTTTCTCAGAAGTGGATCCCCACGCTCTCCTTCTAAGGTGCCCTTTGGGTTGGCAGCTGAGCTAGTTAGCTGTTTGTACCACATGGGGAAGGGGTCCTGGTGGGGCTTGAACACTCGGCTGCTCCCCAAAGGGTTGATGGTGTGAACCTACAAGGGGCTCCAATGAGAAAAGCTGGTCATCTTCCCTCATGAAGATCTCAGCGGAGGGACCTCTAAGAGATGCTCTCCTCTGTCCTGTTACAATTGGCTCGATGACACACGCCACGGCGGGACTCTTAGGGCACAGAGCAGGCCCCCTTCTCTCTGATGAGCCTCTCCCCCAAATTCCCCCACACTGAGTTTGTTTCTGGAACTCAGGGCAATATTCTTGGGAACATGTTCAACTTCATTATGTCCAGGAAGTCTGAGTTCTTTTAAGAATTTAATAAGTAGGCCGTAAGGACGGTGTTCCCAATTAGAGCAGCCAGTCCACAGAGAGGACCACATGGCCGGCCCCGCTATGAGACATGATGCCCCTCACTGACCCATAGCCCTACAGGGGATAACACCATAGACACAGGGTGGGAATTGCACCCGATCTGATCCCGCCACACAGAGGCAAAACACTAAGGGGGTACAACAGAACAGCAAGGGAATGGAGCAGTGAGGTCCCCAGGGAATGCTGAAAGTGGACTTTGGGGCCAGGACGTGGTGCCCCAACAGACTGGACTGGAAAACACTCCTAAAGGCCAACAAACAATCCTTGAACTGAAAAAAAAAAGAATTTAATAAGTCTTATTCCATATTTCTCTCCCTTCCTATCCAAACTCACCGCCATTGAGTTAATTTGGACCCCGAGCAACCCTATCGGACAGAGTGGAACTGCCCCTGTGGGTTTCTGAGACAGTAACTCTGTACAGGAGAAGAAAGCCTCATCTTTCTCCCACAGAGCGGCTGGTGGCTTTGAACTGCTGACCCTGTGATTAGCATCTCAGTGCACAACTTGCTATGGCACTGTAACTCATCAGGATCCATCTATGGTGGCCCAGTGGTTTGGTAGTGGTGGCCAGGCAGTCTCCCAGTTCATCAAGTTCTGGTTTTTGTCAGTTTTTAAAAGTTTTACTGGCATATAATTCACATATCATGTAACCCAGTAGTTCAATCACAGCAAGAAGAGTTGTACAATCATCTGTTTTTACCATTCTTTACGCCATTCACTACTTTCCATTAGAACCAGATGTTTTCGGCTCATTGTGTACTTCCTGCACCCCAGCTTGGAGCCAGCCATTTCTCCAGTGAATTCACCTCCTTTTATTGGAAGAAGATATTTGAAAGCCTGTCCCCTTGCCCTGCTTTCTTTCTTTTTTCAAATAATTTTATTGGGGCTTCACACAGCTCTTATCACAATCCATACATCCATTTATTGTGCCAAGCACATTTGTACCTATGTTGCCATCATCATTTTCAAAACATTTGCTTTCTACTTGAGCCCTTGGTATCAGCTCATTTCCCACCCCCTCTCTCCCTCATGAACCCTTAATAATTTATAAATTATTATTTTTCATGTCTTACACCAACTGTTGTCTCCTTTCACCCACTTTTTTGTTGTCCATCCCCCTGGGAGAGGGGTTTCTATGTCGATCATTGTGATTGGTTCCCCCTTTCTCCCCATACCTTCCTCTTCCCCTCTTGTATCACTACTCTCATTACTGTCTTGAGGGGTCTATCTGTCCTGGTTTCCCTGTGTTCTGAGCTCTTATCTGTACCTGTGTACAAGCTCTAGTCTAGCCAATTTGTAAGGTAGAACTGGGGTCATGATAGTGGGTGGGGGAAATGAAGCATTAAAGAACTACAGGACAGTTGTGTGTTTTGTCGTTGCTCTACTGTACCCTGATTGCCCTGTTTTCAATCCCTCCTCAGACAGAAACCTGGTTTCCACTACCCTCCATACATTTACTTGCTCAATCAATTAGCTTACTTGTTTCCTATGATTAATTTCACAGCTTTTTGCAAACTACTTCTGTCACCACTACCTCCCTCACTGTCCTGTTTCCTTGGACACAGGTCCCATGCCAACACCTGTGCATGGCCTTCCCTAACCACCCTGCATCCTCAGCTGTCAACATCTCCACCTGTGGTCCTCTCCTACCACCCTGCATCCTCAGCTGTCAACATCTCCATCTGTGGTCCTCTCCTACCACCCTGCATCCTCAGCTGCCAACATCTCCACTCTGTGGCCCTCTCCTACCACCCTGCATCCTCAGCTGTCGACATCTCCATCTGTGGCCCTCTCCTACCACCCTGCATCCTCAGCTGTCGACATCTCCATCTGTGGTCCTCTCCTACCACCCTGCATCCTCAGCTGCCAACATCTCCACTCTGTGGTCCTCTCCTAACACCCTGAATCCTCAGCTGTCAACATCTACACCTGTGGTCCTCTCCTACCACCCTGCATCCTCAGCTGTCGACAACTCCATCTGTGGTCCTCTCCTACCACCCTGCATCCTCAGCTGTCGACATCTCCACTCTGTGGTCCTCTCCTACCACCCTGCGTCCTCAGCTGTCAACATCTACACCTGTGGTCCTCCCTTATCACTGTGCATCCTCGGCTATTATGTCTCTACTCTATGATCCGCTCATACCATCTTCCATCCTCAGCTGTTATGTCTCTACTCTATGGTGTTGACATCTCTGTGCTGGGAGCAGAAAGGAAGGAGGATGGGATGGGAAAGACTGCTCATGTCAATTTACTGTTGCTAAGGTGAGACTTTTTTGGGGGGAAGACAGAAAGAATCTTTTCAGAGCTTACTGGTGACTCACAGGACAAACCAATCTGACATTTCGGGTACATCATGAGATACCTTTGCTAGAAATCACATGTTCAAGGATTGTTCTTTTTAAAAAAAATCTTTATATTGGGGGCTCATATAGTTCTTATCACAATACATAGATCCATCCATGTGTGAAGCACATTTGTACATTTGTTGCCATCATCATTTTCAAAACATTTTCTTTCTACTTGAGCCCTTGGTATTAATTCCTCGTTTCCCCCCACCCTCCCTCACCAACCTTTGATAATTTATAAATTGTTATTATTTTTTCATGTCTTTCACTGATCGATGATGTGTCCCTTCACCCACTGTTCTGTTGTCTGTCCCCCAGGGAAGGGGTTAAATGTAGATCATTGTGATCAGTTCCTCCTTTCTCCCCTCCCCTTTCCCTTCCCCTCCTGGTATCGATGATCTCATTGTTGCTCCTGAGGGGTTTATCTGTCCTGGACTCTGTTTCCAGCTCTTATCTGTACCACTGTACATGTTCTGGTCTAGCCAGATTTGTAAAGTAGAATAGGGATCATGATAGTGTGGGGGGTGGGGATGGGAAACATTAAACAACTAGAGAAAAGTTGTATGTTTCATTGGTGCTATACTGCCCCCTGACTGGCTCGTCTCTTCCTTGTGACCCTTCTATAAGGGGATGTCCAATTGTCTACAGATGGGCTTTGGGTCTCTGCTCTGCACTCTTCCAAGGACTGTCTTATAGCTCGGAATGTTCTTGTTGGCTCTGCTCAGTTGGCTCCCTCTCATAACAACCCTACATACAACAGAATGAAACTCTGTACGGCCCTGGGCCAGCCTCACAAGTGTTGGAGCCCACTGTGTCCGTCCATCTCATTGAGGGTCATCCTTTTCTATGACCCTTGACCTTGCCAAGCCTGGTGCTCTTTTCCAAGGACTCATCCCGTCTGGTCACAGGTCCAGAGTGCACGAGACCAAGAATAACACCTGCTGTCGGTCATGTGTCAGGGAAGGGGGAATCATGGCCTGGTGCCAAGATGGCTATCTGCGTATTGATTTCTCCCCACAGTTCTATGCAGGGCCATTTTCACCCCAAACACAATTGCTGCTCAGAGAGGTTAGTCATTTGCCCACGAACTACTCAGCTAGACAGGAGAAGTGCCAGACTTTGAACCAGGCAGCTCCTCTCATTCCTTCCCATCTCTTGGAATTAAACATCTCCCCTGGGAGTGAGGTTGCGCACTCAGGTTGCTGAATACAGCTGTGCCGGCCCTTTCTTAGACACCACGCACTGCCTAACAGATTTTGTGGGGCTTCACCCGCCTGGGAGAAGGAACACCTGTATAAAAACACTTCAAGATGTCATAGGGGACAGGGAGCCAGGGCCTCTATCTTATGACTTCTTTCGCTTTCTGCAGCTCTGCCTGCCCAAGATTCTACCAAGAGGAGGAGAGAATGACCAAGTTTCAGGTGAGTTGGACTTTCTGGACTCCTTCCAGGACATCTTAACTTCTCAGAAGATGACCACCTACTTCTTCCTCGTCTAGAGCAAAGGACAAGAGTAGGCACTTGGCCAAGAACTTACTCTTTTGTTTCTGTTTTGAGTTTTTGTTAGCTTTATCTTCTTGCCATTTGTTGACCACAGAGAAGAAACTCAACCCCTCTGCCTTCATGGTGATTTCAACCCACAGCATCCCTCTAGGACAGAGAGGGCTTCTGGGGCTGTAAATCTGTACGGGAGCAGATAGCCTCATGTTTCTCCTGAGGGGCAGCTGGTAGGCTCGAACTGTTGACCTTATGGTTAGCTGCCCGATTTGTAACTCATCATGAGTTCCCTACTACATTGAGTAGTGTACAAATCAAGAGTCCCTGAGTTTCACAAAGAGTTAAGCATTCGCCTATCACATCTAAAGACTGATCCAGCCTCATGTTGGCATGGGAAGGCAAGTCAGTTTTACCTCCACATTTACCCTCTAGAGCAAGGTGTTCTGGGAGGATGATCTGATGATTTTTTATCCAAATTTTAAATGTGTATATTCTTTGGCATTGCAACTTTAACTTATTGGAGTTTTCCTTAAGAAAGTAAATCAGTGTGTTGGGCAGAAGACCAAATTTCAAAGTAAATGTCCATTTGTTGGATTGGTTAAGTATATTACTGTACACCCAAAAGCCCATTGCCGTTAACTCTAGGCCGGCTGATAGTGACCCCACGTGACAATGTAGTATTATCCTATCGCACCAGTTCTTAATCTTGGGGGTGGGGGTGTCCAATGACCCTTTCACCGGGATCATCTAAGACCATCGGAAAACATTTCTGATGGTCTTAGGAACTGTATTAGTCTGGGTACTTTGGAGAAACAAATCATAAGATAGAGAGTAGATGTTTGTTTGACCTCTCCCTCATGGAAGTTTTCCTTCTTTGTATAACCAGAGGTCAGATAACGCCACACTGTTTACTGGGTTGTTTCTGGGAAGTGGGAAAATAGAAAGTTTGTAAGTCCACTTGCTTCAG